GGGTGGAAGGGGTCAATGGGGAGAAAAAGGGACATCTGTAATATTTTGAACAATAAAAAAAAAATGAAAGATACAAGGTTATATGAAAGTATAAACAGAAAAAGATTATATAGTCTATAAATAAAGATTTTCTGGGAAGCTATTAAGTGCCAGGCAATTTATTACCCCATTATGACCCTTATAATTCTATTTAAATAGACATTACTCCAAGTACTATATGTACAGAAACAAAAGGTAAGAAGAGGAAGTGTTGCTTAGTGTCACACGGCAATTGAGTAGCAGAGATTACTTTAAGTCCCGATTTAAACACCAGCTCCAGGGATCTCACAACTCTACTCTAGCTGCACAGGTTTGTTCAGGGATGTCAGTTTGGCAACAGGACAATCCAAAAGCAACACCAACACCCAAGGTCAGGTCAGATGAAGGGATGATGCTGGGAAGGAAAGGGTGTCCCTTCTTAAACTACTGGAGTAATTGTGTTAAGGACTAGAAAAGCTGGACTCATGCTAAACAGATGAACAGGCAGTTTCACTGCTCTCTTTTCTGAGGCCGAAATTACTCTTGTCATTATGATACTTTGTAAAAACCAGTCACTAATATTGCATGCAAAGGTAAACTACAAATGAATCACCCACTACTCCTCATTTGTTCCTCAGTAGGTAGCTCGGCAGGCAGGGGTATGTGCATGTATTTTGGCTAAAATATACTCCCACTATCTAAAGTGGCAATGTGGATACTGCAGTAAAAAGGCATAGTTTTTAGTCTTTTAACTTGGGGTTTAATGATATAAGATATTTTTGCAGTTAAAAAAGCAGGAGCATTTCATATGTTATATATAGACAAGATAAATGTACCAAGTATTGCTATAAATTTAATTTTTCAATCATAAATTAGAAATACAGACAAACTAATATTCATTCTTTCATTATGGTCTTCCATTAATTAAATATGCTACTGAAAGATAAAATTACACACCANGACAAACTAATATTCATTCTTTCATTATGGTCTTCCATTAATTAAATATGCTACTGAAAGATAAAATTACACACCAGCAGAATGAGATGTACTCTGGTTATTCATAACTTTTATAAGGGTATAAAAGAACTTTTTTCATGAATTGGTATCAATTCATGCAAGACTCATGACACCTAGAATCACACTCAGCAGCATAGTTTAGCAGATGTTGCAGGAAGTTCTGCCCTGGCCGCTGTGGCTCAGTTGGTTGGAGCATCGTGCCATACACCGAAAGGCTGTGGGTTCAATTCCTGGTCAGGGCACATACCCAGGTTGCAGGTTCAGCATATGAGAGACAACAAACCAGTTCATGCTAAATAGATGAACAGGCATCTATGTTTCTCTCTCTCCCTCCCTCCCTCTCTCTAAAAATCAATAAACATATCCTTGGGCGAGGATTGAACAAAAAGAAAAAAGTGTTCTACCAATTTATCTGTAAATACTCTGCTCATTTTTTCCTGCTTGTCTCTCTAGTCATCAGTGAGAATATTTTTTAACAACAAAAGGTCAAATTTACTTTGAATTCTTTTGATAAATAAAAAAAACAATCACAAAGTAAAGCAGGTGGAATTTGCGTCTGTGCTAAAGCATTCCTTGTAGCAATGACTGGCTGCCAGTTATAGTGAAAGGCACTCTAAGCAGCACAGAAAGAATTGTGCAGCTCTGCCAGCGAAATCTAAACAAGGGCTCTAAAACAAGAGAGAGAAAGAGAGAGCGAGGGAGGGAGGGCAGAATAGAGCAGCGGCTTTCAAGTGGGGTGCTGCAAGAAGCTTTAAAGCATGACGATATAGTCAGGGCACTGGGAAATAAAAAATAAAAAATGACAACAGCCAACACAACAATAGCCGTCTGGTGTGAATGAATCAAAATTATACCTATTTTTTGGTCAGGTTGGCAAAAAAATATATATTTTTGTGTGTGCCGCAGAATTTTAGTAATTAGTTTATGTGTGCCACGAGATGAAAAAGGTTGGAAATTGCTGGAATAAAGGAAAGACGGAAAAAGAAGGAGGAAACAGAAAAGGGAGCGAGAGAAGGGAAGAGAGTGAACAGAAGGGATGGCGAGAGCAGGGAAAATAATCAGAAAATTAGCTGAGGACAGATAGGAAAATAAAGATATTGAAAAAAATGATGGACGGGAAAGTGGGCCCTGGCCGGTGTGGCTCAGTTGGATAGAGCGTCGTCCTGTACACCGGAGGGTCTTGGGTTCGATTTCCGGTCCGGACACAGGCCCAGGCTGTGGGTTCACCCCCAGGCGAGGCGCAGGCACAGGCACATGGGAGGAAACACCTGCTGCTTCTCTCGCACATCGATGCTTTTCTCCCTCCCTCTCTCTGTCCCTCTCTCTTCCTCTCTCCCTAGAATCAATGAAAAACATATCCTCAGGTGAGGATTAAAAAAATAATAAAAAGAAAAAAGATGGAAAAGTGGCTAAAAGCCAAAAGAAGGTAACAATTCACAAGTTCCAAAATGAAAATTACTAAAGAAAGACAGCCTAAGACTTTGCAACTCTCCCCAAATTAGGACTACGACTAACTGACATAGTCCTGAACACTGGGACCAAAAAAGGGGCCAGGATCTTGTGGCCCGTAGGCGGAGTGACTGTATCTTCTATCACCTCCCAAAATTAGATTTATTGAAGATGAACAAAGCTCTTTCAGACCCACAAGAACAAGTATATCTTTCTATCCGTTCATGAGATGCAATTTTGTGTTTTCTAACTAGGAGGAAAATTAACCCTAAGGCAAGTACAAACACCAAAGCCAGAATTCAAAAATAGATGACTCATTAAATAGGAGCTCACAGACTTGACTGAGGGACTGGCTGAAGATTAACAGAAGTAGACAACTGGTACAAAACTGCATAATAATTTCTCAGATAATTTTACTTCCCCAGGCTGCCTTGGCTTCAAATCACTGAATTCACTACCTTAACCTAAACTTGCCAAGCCAAAGGAGTCTTAAATCCCACTTTTCTTCTAAACTAATAATCCATTCAGAAAGAATAATAACTGAGAAACCAAAGTGGATAGCCATGCTTTGGCACAACTAAATCTGTAATTAGTTGGGAAAAAAAAGTATTACACTTACTCATACCACTGTTTATTGTGTTTTCGGTAAAGCAACGTATCCAAGGCAACGGCATTGACATCCAGAGCTCCTGGGGAAGGCCACTGGTTGGTGAGGTGGGTAGTTAACTCTTGTCTTGATCTTAAATCATTATTCTTTAGCACAGTCCTGTGAATATTAAGATGGTGAGTGCTTTTGTCTTCATTGTTCTGCAATGGCAGAGGAACCTAATGGTATCAATCTAGGCCCCCAAAATTCATCTTTTTAAAACGGTATGTTAATAGACTGTGAACAAAACTATAGGAAGGCTAGATGGCACTATAGCTGTTTGGTTTCCTGCAATATGTGTTTTTCATTCTTTCTTGACTAGCTACAACAGACCACTGATGACATTCAGACTTCCTATCATTTCCACAGAGATACTACTGGAAGAATAAAGGACTCAAGCTGCCTTTTACATCTTACCTAAAAAACAATGGTAATATTTTAATGTTATAAGTTATCAGATGCCAGTTAAAATATGAAGGAAAGTAAAGATTCCACATGTATGATGTTCTAGCTTCAAAATTCACAATCTGTGAAAGTAATTTAACTCAGTAATCAAAAAATTAAAATGAATTCAAAATAAAACGAATGCAGAAAAAATATAAAATAAAAATTTCATGAGGGTCCTGTAATTGTTTTTGATGGAGTGATTACTAATAAATCTTCATGAAAATAATTAAATCAATGGCAACTGTGTTGAAGAGTATAATCTACTGGAAATATTTCAGCTACAGAATAAAGCCATTATAACAACCCATGGTTTCCTTCCAAATCTGTAGAACTTTACTTGCTAATAAGAACTTGCAAAAGAACTAGTTTTTTTCTACTTCTCAAATTAACTGATCGTTGTCACCAGATGAATTCGACATTTGAATTGGTGGTTAAAGATAATTTAAAAGCATAATTCTGTGTGCAGAGGTCTTATTCTACATCTGAAAGACCTTAACAGACCACCTAGGCCGCCGGCATTCTCCAACTGTAGTCCGCAACCTCCATGCACCAAGGTTCTGAGCCATCAGCTCGGGCGTGGGAAGTAGTATGCACTTGCCACTAATTTTCAGAGATGATAACTGTTCTGTTGTGGGGCAGAGTCAGCAGTGTGCTAGCGAGACAATACTGCACGAGAAAATCAGCCTGCACAACACCTCTGGCTGTCAACATGTTTCTAATGGAATAACCCCATTTAATATGACTCTAACAAGCTACATCCGAATGTTTCTGATTTTACAGGATACCTGTGTCCATTTAAAAATATTTGTTCCACTATGTCCACAAAGAAATACTATCTGATGTAAACACTAGCTTCTCTCTCAGAATGGAATACTACAAGTTAAATAAGCAGAAGTCAGTCGGAATGTATTTCATTAAGATATTCTTTTAGGGTAGGTCCAACAATTTCATTTCACTGGACAGAAATACATGTTTAAAAGGACTATTAAGGTACTTTAATATTGCTTTTTATGAAAACAGTAAAGAATAATTAGAAAAATTTTAAGATTGACAGAAAAATTATATAAAACAGAAACGGGGATCACTGGCCAGACAATCTATTATAAACTAATGTTATTTTGAGTTCTCTTACTACATTTTTCTCTTTTGGAGGTCTCTATATTCCCTCTCTCTAAGGTCTCTAGCGAATGTCACTGGAAAACTCAACTCCAGTGTCATATCTGGAGTACAGGAAATAGAGCAGAATTCAGAAAGGCAAATGCATTTGTGAGGAAACGGCACTGGTAGAACTTGGTCAATGATGAGTAATTGAACTATCTCCAATTTATAATATATTCATTCTAGGAAGTAAAAACTTTTACACCACATAAACTGGAAACAGAAACTGAAGTTTCATAGAAGTTTTTACACACTATTTGTCCATGGAGAATTTCTGCCTAATGACAAATTGACGTATTGTCTTTAGACCTTTGTGCTTAGAAATTCTAATGGTAATCATTTTCTATGGGAAGCTGCCTGGCCCGCCGAACAGGGGATAAGAGATTTCAGTGTAGAGAGCAGTAGTAGTTTTCATCCACGCCACATCTGTTTCGCACCCCTGTGCGGACTGTGCAGACAGTAAATCCTGGCACTTGCGCTGCCACTATGAAAAGAAAAAGTTCCTGGAGGACCCCTGGGTAGGGCCGTTTCTTTTGCCACTCACTCCAGTACACTAGGGGATGGGCAGATGAATTAAGTTAGGTTGAAAATCCCATCCCTGAATTTTGAATCCTGACTAGAGTCTATTTAGAGTAATAGAAGAGTTTCCTCATTCTAGCAGTGAAGTCCTGGCTAAAATATAGCAGCAAAGGGACATTCCTAAGTTCCTATTTTCCAACCCTCTGAAATACCTTGACCTAACTCCTTCCAGGCCTACTTTTCCAGTCTTTCTATCCATTCCATGAGTTGTTGACATCAATATAATAAATTCTCTTTGTGCTTAAGTTTTAGTTGCAATCAAAAAATCCTATTACTTACCTTATATCAAGCAAAATATACCTAATGAATTTCAAGACCTACTCAAAAGTAACCCAACTGATGTTGATATGAAGAATCTGTATATTTTTCTCATTTGGCCAAACTTAAAAATAGGTTCATTTTAAATTATTCAACAATTACTGTTATTTTATAATGCAAAAATCATTTTAATGGTAAAAGGTGATAATTAAAATTAAAATTAAAATTCCAAGAAATGGTAATGCTACTAAAGTTATCTAAATCCTGAATCATTCTGTATGAGCTATGCCACATATATATACTACAAGTCAAATTTAACATTCTCTCTTTAAGGTAATAATTCTCAGAAAGATATACTAAAGGAAAATTGTTAAGAAAGTAACAATAATATATTTATCACAGCTAATTTTAAGAACTTTCTGTGGTACCTACCTCTAAAGTGCTAGTCAGCTAATTTATCTTCAGATTCTCAATAAGAATTATTCAGGAATTGAACCACAAAACAACATGATCCAATCTTTTATCCCCGCAGTTTTAATGGGGTATAACTGACTATTTAAAACTGTATACTTTAAAAGTATACAACATGATGATTTGATATATGTATACAATGTGAAATAATCACACTCAAGGTAATTAACATATTCATCCCCTCACACACTTGTGTGTGTGTGTGTGTGTGTGTGTGTGTGTGTGTGTGTGTGATGGGAACACTTAAGATCTACCCTCTTAGAAAATTTCAAGTATCTAATACAGTATTGTTAACTATACTAACGTTGCTGTACATTAGATCTCCAGAATTTTTTCATCTTGCATAACTGAAACTTTGTACCCCTGACCAACATCTCTCCATTTCCCTCTCTCCCCAGGCCCTGGTAACAACCATTCTACTCTCTACTTCTATGAATTTGACTACTTTAGATTCCACATATAAGCAAGATCATACACTATTTGTCTTTTAGCATTTATTTCACTTAGCATAATGTCCTCCAAGTTTATCCATGTTGTTGCAAACAGTCTGTTGTGTATGTATATAAACACAGGATATATGTGTGTATATATATATGTATATACACCCCTGTATATACATATACATACACATATACATACATCATATAGGTGTCCCAAAAAAGATATATACACTTTAACAGCTGATTTCCATTACATTTTGAAAATGAAATGTATTTTAATAAACACTGCCTTTAAAATTATTCTAAGTGTATACATTTTGGGGGGGCACCCTGTATATTTATCACATTTTCTTTATCCATTCATCCATCGATGGACACTGAAGTTGCTCCCACCTCCTGGCTAATGTGAAGAATGCTGACACTAACATGAGAGCGAAGATAACTCTTTGAGATCCTGATTTCATTTCCTTTGCATGAATACCCAGAAGTGGGATTGCTGGATCATAAGACAGTTCCATTTTTAATTTTTTGAGGACTCCCCATACTGTTTTCCAAAGTGGCTGTACTAATGTACATTTCCAACAAGAGTGTACAAGTGGTCCCTTTTAACCACATCCTCACCAAAACTTACCTATCGTCTGATAACAGACATCCTAACAGGTGTGGGGAGGTATCTCATTGTGATTATGATTCGCATTTCCCTGATGACTAGTGAAGCTGAGCATCTTTTCATATACCTGTTGGTAATTTGTACGTCTTCTTTGAAGAAATACCTATTCAAGTCCTTTGACCACTTTTAATTGGATTACTTTTTGCTATTGAGTTGTATGAGTTCCTTATGTATTTTGGATATTAACTCCTTATCAGATAGATGGCAAATGGTTTCTCCCATCTATTGGTTGCCCTTTTTCTCTGCTGATTGGTCCTTTCCCGTGCAGAATTTTTACTAGTTTGATGAATTCATTTTTCTATTTTTGCTCTTGTTGCCTGTTTTTTTGATTCATATCCAAAAATTCATTGCATAGAACAATGTCATGAAGCTATTTCCCTATGTTCTCTCCCAGTGGTTTAACTGTCTCACGTCTTATATTTAAGTCTTTAATCCATTTTGACTTGATTTTTGTAAATGGTGTATGACAGAAGGATCCAATTTCATTCTTCCATATGTGGATATACAGCTTTCCCAATACCATTTACAAAAGAAAGCATCCTGTTCCCATGTGTGTTCTTCGTCCCATTGTCAAAGATCAGTTAGTTGACTGTAGATGCCTGGACTTATTTCTGGGCTCTCTATTATGTTCCAATGATCTACCTCTCTGTTTTAATGTTAGTACTATACTGTTTTGATTACTGTAAACTTATAATATATTTTGATATCAGGAAATCCAATGCCACCAGCTTTACTCTTTTTCTCAGAATTCCTTTGGCTATTAGGAGTCTTTTTGGTTCCATATAAATTTTACGATTGTTTTTTCTATTTCTGTGAAAAATGCCACTGGGATTTTGACATGGATTTCACTGAATTTGCATATCATTTTGCATAGTGTGGACATTTTAACAATATTAATTCCTCCAATCCAAGAACACAGGATGCCTTTCCATTTATGTGTCTTAATTTCCTTCACCAATGTTTTTACATTTTCAGTGTACAAATCTTTCACCTCTTTAAGTTTATTGCTAAGTATTTTATTCTTGTTGCTATTGTGAATAGGATTTTCTTAAAAATTTCCTTTTCTGATAGTTCGTTGTTTGTATATAAAAACACGA